GGAGCGCTGCCCGCCGGGTCGCTGTGCCCCCTTGCCCGGCGTGGGGAAGGTGGGGACTCCCCAGTGCGCGAGGGGTGCGCTGAGTGCAGGTTAACACCCACCTAATGCTCCGCGGGTACAGAAGTGCCTAACACCGAGCTCTTTTAAGTGGCAGCGTAGTTTCCTAGGGAAAGCCCTAAAACTAAACTTGGCAGAACGCCTGTAAATATATTGGGTGCTATAGTCTCATACGGAAAATTTGGAGGTGCTTAAGACCTGTGGTCTGCTGAAGACCTTTGCATCTCTGTGGTATGTTCTCTTAAAGACACTTTGGTTTGTTATGGGCTCGGTTAAGTTATGTAATTATTTTTCACCACGTGAGGATCTTCCTCCGTTTCACGTGCAATGTGAAAAAGCTTATATTAAAATACCCTCTTGCTTTTAATGTTGCCAGCTGTGAAATAGTGTGAACCCACTATTGCAGTAAAGACTCGTTGGGTGGAGTGAGATCAGTACAAGTCATAACTAAAAAAAAACCCAAATGCTGGAAGAGGAACCTGTATAGGGTGTCATCAAATTATAACAATTGCTCTTATCAAGAATTCGCTGGGGTTTTTTATTACTCTTTTTCCCCTCCTTATGCTATGAAAGTTCTGTTTGGATGGGTTGTGTAGGGGGCATTATTTTTATAGTATCCTTTTCGTAAAGCATCTTTATAGATGCATGTATTCTAGTATGTTTGGTTGGATTTGTCAGAAGTAGTTGACAAATACTAATTTCTGCTGTGGAGTTTATGGATAATGCACAGTAAACAAGAAAATAGAATTTATCTCTTCCTGTGTGGTGTTGAATATGTAGCAATGTACTACCATTAAAAATGTGAAATCAGCAGGCCCTTCAAAGAAAAGGACAGTTGAAAGTATGTAGAACTGGATGTGGTGTTAACCATTAATTAGTACATTATTAATCATCATTGATCTGTTCTCTTAATAGAATTATCTTCACAGAAGAAATTTGATGAAATTAAGAAGGCTAATCAGGCTGCAGCTAAAAAGCTGGTTGAAGACCAGTTTAGCTCCTCATCTGAAGATGATGATGAAGATGCTGAAGTAAAACAAGGAAAGATCTTGGCCAAAACATTTACCATTTACACCAGTCAAACTGGTAATTTTTTTTTTTCCATTTATTAACTTTTATTTCAATATGAAAGCATAAACAATGCTGTATTACTGGCTGCGTATTAGTTCTTTTCTATAATTGGAGAGAAAGCGCTTTACTCTGTCTTGTATTAAAAATATGTATTCCTAGCAATGCATGCCGGCAGTGCTTCTTGCCATTTTATGCAGAATTAATGGTATAGTTTTGAAACTGTCTTAAGTACTTCTAATAAGGTGGTTTTGTAATAGTAGATGTCTGGCCTCTGTTCAGGGAAAAAAAAATGTACTTTTGCAGCAGTCTCAACATGTACAGAATACCAGATCAAACATTACTGATTGCTTTAAAAATCTTTATACATTAAAGATGGAGATGCAAGCGAACTGGAGCGTACAAGGCAGTACATGAATGAAGCTTTTCAGTCGGGGGCTATGACGTGTCTGATCTGCATTGCTTCAGTTAAAAGGAACCAAGCTGTAAGTATTTTACAGTGGTATTTTAAAATAAAGCAACTGTAACTGAATAACTTGTGTTTTGTGATATTACCAAGGTCATTCTTGGGACTGATAGTTTTACAATGATAGAGCACTAAACGCAACATTTGGTACCTTCAGACTTTATAACCGCTTTTCATAGAAAATCACAGAATCACTAGGTTGGAAAAGACCTTAGAGAAAACACTTGAAGAAATAAGTGCCTATATGTATATAGCTTATAATCATGTCTTTGAAATATGTTTATTATCATAATGTGAAATAGTTATTTTTAAAGTTTAGAGAGTAGCAGATGAGAAAAAAGAAGTGCAGGAAGGCCAGATGGTGCATTGAGTCATCTGTGTTGTAGCAAACACCAAAGCAAGAACTACTAGGAAGTTAGGAAATATTCTTGTTAGATTTATAGCAGGGGAGCTAAGACAAGCTTTGTTGCTCCAATTGCTGATGAGGTGAAAGAGAATCATAGAATGGTTTGAGTTGGAACAGACCTTAAAGATCATCTAGTTCCAGCCCCCCTGCCATGGGTGGCATGTCTGGGAGAATTATCTTATTTCATATGGATATGTTTTTCATGGGAGAAATTTCACGACAAATCTTTTTCCCTTTTATTGTTACATATCAATTTCCCTCTGAGGCTGACAGGCCCAGTAGCAGAAAAGAGTCTGTTTCTTTCATGGTTACTTGAATCAAATACAAGTTTGCAACTACGTTTAACATTAGGAGAAAAGTAGTGCAGAAAATCTTTAACTTCTTATGCTGGATGTACACGGACTACAGGTATTTTTTAGAAAGAAATGCAGTATGTTTTGTGTGAATACGTAACATTTAATCCATATTTTTTCGTATGTTTAGCTTAATTTTAAAGTTCTGTGTCTCTTGATAAGAGTTAATCTCCTCTCCGCAGAAGTGAAATGATTTGGCAACTTGGAAGTCGCCTTTTATAAACTCAGTGGTTTGTTAGTTATGTTGAATCTGTGATGTTTCAGCAGTGTGTTTGTTTACTTAAGGTCCTGTGTTTAGTTTTGAGAAGTTAGTTACTGTACTTTTAGAAACTTACATGATTGACTTTGTCCTCTATAAGTTAATGGGGAAATGCACCCTGATTTCACAGTATAATTATATAACATGGTCATAAGTTATTAAACAAATAAAGAAATTAAAACTTAATTTTTCTGCTGCATGTCTCTTACCAAATTGTTACAGTCATTCCAAGCTGACAGTCTGTGGAAAGTACCAAAGTCATAAAACTACATTTCTGTTATTTAAATTGCTTTTCAGCAGCGGGCTGATATTCTAAGCTTAGGATGGTGATTTTACTCCAGAACTGACAAGGAGAAGTACCCTGGGACCAAGAACATAGTGATTAGCGATGGAGAGAGGATACTGGCAAAACCAACTCTTTCTTAAACACATGTGCTTTTAGTTCCGTTCTGTTTTCTGCCCCTTTTGCTCTTTGAACAAAAGACACCATGTTGAAAGCCACACTTTGCATCAAATCTTTTTCTTACTAGCACTGTATGTAGGTCCTAAAGCTTGAAAAGGAGGGAAAAAATTCTTTCTAGTACTTTTACTACCAAGATGTCCAGAGACCTAGAGTATGGGACGGGGAGAGAGGTGGAGGGGGAGAGCTGGGCTTGTTTAGTCTAGCAGAGAGGAGGCTAAGGGATGATATGATTGCAGCCTGCGTCTACTTGGAGTTGGCGACTAAACCAAAGCCATCTTTGTGGTGACAGGTGGTGTGATAAGGGGCAGTGGCACAGACTGGGGCTTGGGAGGTGCAGGTTGGGCACTAGGAAGGTAGTATGGCACTTGCAGCAGGTTGCCCAGGATGGTTGTGGGGTCCCCATCCTTCAGGATTTTCCAGTTTTGCTAGGCAAAGCTGTGACTGAACTGAGCGAAGTTGGCAATGCTCCTGCTTTGGGCATGAAGTTGTGCTACGTGACCTCCAGCTGTGTCTTTAATTCAACACGCCTGTGATTATACGAGTATTTTGGGCTCCATAAGCCTTGGCAAAAACTTGCCACAGCAGCAGGAAAAAAAGAGTATAGGTATGAATCTGTCACAGGAAAACTGCCTGTATTAATCTAACCATAGGTATAATCTGCCCTTGGAGACGCATTTAAGTGCAAACATAGCAGGCTTGTATTTTGTTAGATATTAGGGATGTTCATCAGTGGAAATGGAAGGAAACCTAATGTAAAGCGATTGGCACTTCTCTCTGCTCTCCAGGTCTGGAGCTGTTGTGGATGCTTTTGTATATTTCACCTGGTGTGTATCCAAAAGTGGGCCAAGGACAGCCTTTTCCTTGTGTCCTCTCCTTTGACGGACGATGATTTTGGGAAGAAGGATTATCCCTGGCCATGGTGAGCTCTTCGTGGTACATGTACAAAGATACTTTTAATGTGAAATATAGGTGAACTGGAGTTAGTTTAGAAACCAGTGGTACTTGTAAATGACATGCACACCAAAAAAAAATGAGAAGACTGACTATTCTATTGCTTTTCTGAATTATTTTCAAGTTTTCATTAACAAGATGCAGGGATGTTTCACAGTGATACTAACAACCTGCTGCATCTTTTGCATCTGCAAACTAATACTTGTGTTTGCATGGTTTTACATATTTGTCACTTTTAAAATTGGAATAAGTACATTAAAAAAAGAGTTCTGAAACAGCAAGATTTAGGGATTTTTTTAAAAATTCTAACTTAAGAATGAAAGCCAGTCTTCTAGTTTTTACGTGAGGTTGTATAAAAAAGGTAATATTGTGGTTGCATGGATAACGAAGCTTGCACGTTATAAAACTGCGCAGTCCCTATGGAGAGGTGGCCTGTAACATGTTATATAAAGGCAGATTAACATTTTATGTAATAAAAATGAGTACATAGGTCTTTCAAAGCCTCTGTTCTCTGAGGAGGAGCTCTCTTCCTGTTGTCTTTTCCCAGTGTAGCCAGAAATGGGAGCTGCTTTGTTTCTCCTTCCTTGTGTTGCTTCCCTTGTCTGTGGCTTGCACCTGAAAGCCTTTAGGGCCCGTGGCAGTAACAAGTTCCAGATGTTTGGTGCCTATCTATATTTGGGACTAATCTATTTTTTAATATCTGACACCATCAAGGATAACAAATAATGGTGTGCATCTTATAATACCTAAAGGATGCTGTACTGACACAATCTAAAATCTTTCTGATGAAATTTTAATTGTTATGCATAATTTTAATAGCATCACTAAATCTTGTTTTACATAGCTTATAAATTGCTGCTGGTAAAAACCTGGGTTTTAACCTCTTTTTTTAATTGGTTCTGTCTGAGTAGGTTAACTCTTTGTTGCATGCATTCCTTTGGTATTATTTGACATAAAAATTGTTCTGTATGCTTGGTACACTGAATTTTTTAATGTGTATTCTTAGAGAAAAAAGATTGCAGTGATAGGACAATTCCTTAGACATTGTAATGTATGTATTGTAAAATTTTATATAAAGCAAGTGTTTTGTTGTATAATATAAATTTAATTATGCTTTTGTTGGTTCCAGTAGTTGTAAAAATGTTAATTGGTGGCCTGGTAACAGTCTTGGGAAACTGAAATGATAAGAAGTGCTTTTCTTGTATAAAAAACTCTTCAAAAAATTGCTTTTGTTTTCATTCCCTCTTTTTCTTGTTGTAGTCCAAAATGTAGGTTCGAATACAAACGGTCGGAAACTCCCAGTAGGTATTACTGTTACTGTGGAAAAGTGGAGAATCCAGCACTGGACCCGTGGCTGGTACCTCACTCCTGTGGTCAGATATGTGAGAGGGAATTCAAACCTCCTTGCGGCCATAAATGTTTGCTGCTTTGTCATCCAGGTAAATCCATTGTGTCTCTTGGCTGAATGAGCTGTATTTATGTGTTTATGTAGCTCTTACACAGTTTTACTTAAAATCTCCTAACTGTATTTTAGAATTCTGACAATAAACCAGATGTAATCAAGGCTGCGTTTGCTGAATGGCCAATAGCGAGGTGTTCTTTTTCCTGTCCTTAGGACCCTGCCCACCCTGCCCAAAGATGGTCACAACAACCTGTCACTGTAAGAAAGCTAAAGCAGTGCCCCGAAGGTGCAGTGCCAAGGAATGGTCGTGTCGCCTGCCGTGCGGACGAACATTGCTGTGTGGACAGCATGCTTGTGAGAATTTCTGCCACTCAGGTAGACCTGCCTTCTTAAACTTCAGAGGAGTAGTTATTTTAATTGTGAAGATACATCATTCTTTTGCAATTCCTACTTTGTGTCACTTTGCATTTACATACAGGAGATTGTCAGCCTTGTCCACGAGTCAGTGAACAACGGTGCATCTGTGGAAGGAAGACAGCAGAAAGACTTTGTGCAAGTCCTCAGTGGCAGTGTGATCAGGTAGGTTGAAGCTGTCCTTTTTAGCTTATTTCTCATCTTTATGAAGTTTGATGACTCAGTGTAGTAAGGATTGGGAAAACTCATTCAACAGGAAAATAATTTTATTTTTTAAGGTTTTCATAGTGCAACCAAATAGGTAGGCAGCAGTGCTTGAGAGTGGATGTACGTGGTGACCCAGTTAACTTCTGACCCTAGTTAAAGTGTCACTGTTCTGCAGTTATGCTAGGGTTAAGCTAGCTGTGAATTCCACCTTGTGCATTCTGTTGTCTTGAACTTGAGGTTGAAATTTCAGCTGCTGTATGCAAAAATAGGCATGAAACCACAGCTTAGTAGGTAAGTTTTGTGCTTATTTAATTCTAGTGACTAGCAGAATGAAAGCTTGAATCACAGATTCGTTCTTTGACGTATATTTGGAGTTTGTTCTTAGGACCAAGGCTATGGAATGACAGACTGCAAAATATATTTTTGCCCAGAGAAGCTGTGGATGCCCCATCCCTGGCTGTCTTCATGGCCAGGCTGGACGAGGCTTGGAGCAACCTGGTCTAGTGGAAGGTGTCCCTGCCCATGGCAGGGGGGTTGGAACTAGATGATCTTTAAGGTCCCTTCCAACCCAAACCATTCTATGATTCGTTCTATAAAACTAAAAAATTAAGTGGCGAGGGGGAGGGTGCACCAGGAGGTAATTGGTCATTACGATCCCAGTAGGAAAGGCACTCAGCCTTCATAAGACATTGGTTAAAATGCAATTTATTTCAGCTAACAGTGTAGAAAAAGGGAGTATAACATAAATAGTATGGCCTTTGGGGTGCTGGGAACCCCAAGCTGTGCAGCGTTGAATGGGCTGCTGATCGGTGTGCAGTATGCAGTGCAGACCCCACCTGCAGAAAGGGTTACCCCATTTTGGTCATTGAAGCTATTGTAGGATTTTGTTACAAGAAGGTAGAAATTATGAACAGGAGTTGCTGTCAGACAGAAAGGGTGTTCACATGAGAACTTCGTGCTGGACTTTCAGATAAAGGCAAGGACATGCAGGTGGTGTAATCACTGTTACCAAGTGGGAGCTGCCTCCAATCTCCTGTGCTACAATGAGTTTATCCTGTGGCCAAGGGAGAGGTGCAGCACAACACAGGGTTGAAGGCCAAGCTGTACGTGCAGCACAGCACAGGCCTGGGTCTGCTCAGGTTAACTGTTATGTGAACCACTGACTCCTCAGTAGATAGTGGTGTTCCAGTCAGGATCACTGCAGAGGTGATGGGTTTTATGTGGCAAACGCAGCAAATATAAGATATGTTAACAAAACTGAGGAAAAGTTAAATTCCATCCAGCCATCCCTCACCCCTAGTTTTTTCCCCTTGGGTTGCTGTGTCTTGGTATGTAGTTCCATTGCATTTACTTGGTTTCTATGGGTTTTCCAGGTGTGTGGGAAACCTTTGCCTTGTGGTAGTCACACATGCGAACGAGTTTGTCATGCTGGTCCCTGTGGAGACTGTCCTCGTTCTGGGAAAAGGTCCTGTCCATGTGAGAAAACAAGTAAGCTGCCTTACTTTTTTTTTTTTTAAGGTAAATTTAAAGGACAGCAAAAAGTCACCCAGTCTTTGACAGGTCAGGTTGATCCTGCAGGGCAGGGTCCATACAGAGGTCTTACAAATAGTGAACTGTGACAACTTATATTAACTCTTTTCAGAGAGTTAATATTTAATATTTAATTCTTTCAAAGCTTTATTTAGTACCAGGGGTTTAATTGGCAGTACGAATAGTTGAGTAATGCTAGAGAAGCTTTTAAAGAAAATGAGGGAGAATTGGCATTTGAAGTCATATGACACTGCATTTTCTTCTAAATGGTTTGGCTTTGTTCCTAAATGTCTCCTTGTACTTCTCTGTCTCCATCTAGAGTTTACGTTGCCTTGTACAGAAGATGTGCCCACTTGTGGCGATAGTTGTGACAAAGTTCTGGACTGTGGCATCCATAAATGTTCACAGCGTTGTCATCGAGGTCCCTGTGAAATATGCAGACAGGTTAGTCTTACCGTAGCAGGTTCACATTTTGTTAGGGTTTTTAAACACACTGTGCCTGGGACAGTGCAGATCTCCTAAGGAAAATGAAGTCATATCTATCACAAAATCTGTAACTTTCTGTTCATTAAAACCAACATACTCTTTTCCCTGTCCCTCACCAAGCCTCCACACAATTCTGGATTAGTAGTGGAGCATTATGTATCTGAACTGAGGCATGGTCAAGGGTTTTATTGTTTTGGTTGGGTGTTTGTTTATGTTTTCTTAATTAGTTATGCTCTAAAGGACACTGCTTTTCCCTCAGCTCTTCTGGCTTCCTTGTTGCTTCGTCTTACGATGCTATTTCTTCATTAGTGAAGTGGAAGATGCTGTAACATAACATTTTGAGCAACCTGACCTAGTGGAAGGTATCCCTGCCCATGGCAGGGGGGTTGGAACTAGATGGTCTTTAAGGTCCCTTCCAACCCAAACCATTCTATGATTTTATTGTTTGAAAATAATATTTTGCTGTGCTCTAAGTATCTATGGAGCTTCTGTGTCTGGCCTGTAAAGCTGTTGCTTTGTCTGCTCTCAGTTGTCTCTTCCTGAACCAGCTTCGGCTACGAAGTCAGTGGTGAAAGTAGTCAGGACGTGATATCTGGGCTGAAGGTCAGATAAACCTGCTCACCTACTTGTTCAGTTATCTATATATACAAGGGATGAACCTAGTTTACTGTGCAGGAGGGGTACTTTGTTCGTTTTGCATTTATGCTTGACATCTTGCACCTACACAGGTGAGGGGTTCCCTTGGAGTGACTTCCCTCTTGGTGAGCCCAAGGTTACAGTGAGGCACCGTGTAGAGCGCAGTGTTTGCAGTACCGACACAAGGTCCCTGGGTAGTTATGCACAGATAGGTAATCTGCTCAGAGCGTGTGATACACTTCCCGTTGTCAAAGAGCATTGTAATGTTACTCTCCCATGAACTTTTCTTTACAGCTATTAGCAGAACACTTTATCTTCCCCTTTTTTTGCTGTTGTATTAAAAATACCCTGCTTTTTTCCCTATCTTGCTACCCAGGAAGTTGAAAAACAGTGTCGCTGTGGAAAGCACACTAAACGCATGCCATGTCATAAGCCATATTTGTGTGAAACAAAGTGTACTAAAATTCGTGATTGCCAGAAGCACCAGTGTCGAAGAAAGGTAAGTGTCCAGAGATGATGCTTCTTGGATGTGTTGTTTAGATGACGTTTATTTATATATAATATTTTGTACTGTATATAAACCCCATAAATCTGTTGGTCCCCCTCGTGTTATTGTATAGGAAGAAGACTTGGCTTCAGTGTCATTCAGAGTAGTTTGCAGTGTACCAGAATTCTCTGAATAGCGTGTAAACTCAACTAAGTTGAGTAGTTACTGGTGCTTTATGCCTTCTGGAGGAGTTAAATCAGTTTATTTCCTTACTTTGTAGGAAGAGCTGGGGACCCCACATAGCTTCATGCAGCTGGGGACCTCTCGTAGCTTTCCACTGCGCTTTCTACAGTGCATCACTGCAAACAGCAGGGCTCTGACAGTTGGAAATTTGAGTGTTGTTTCCCTTCTCACTGGAAGTCAAAGGAAGAGTTGATAGCTCAGACCTGTCTTTTCAGTTTGTTGATTCATGAAGGTCTGAAAGTTGCTTGCTACGTGTGAATGGAGACATCACAAAAGTTGGATTTCTTTACCGCAGAAAGGCATGAAAAATACAGTACTAGTCTTAGATGATGATGTGGTGGTGGTTACACTGAATTTACTTTATGTGAAAAGCTGGCAAAAGAATTAAATGCAACCTTGACATTTTTAATTTATGCTAAGAAATCTATGTCTCTTGCTAATTGCCATCCTTCCTTACCCAGTGTGGAAGGGGAGGGAACGTGTCAAGCTGGTAGGAAAGATGGGTTTACTCCTGAGCCAACATCCGCCACTGCGCTCGTGTTGGGATGTGTTCAGGTTCTTCCACTTTAGTACTTCATGTGAGCACAGAAAGTAGATAACTGATCCTAAAGTTATGTGACCTTTACTGCAAAGGTAAAAGGTCTTTTAAAGAAAGAAGTTAGCAACAGTTTTGTGCCAGGGATGATAGAATATAAAAGTGGAAGAAATTGCAGAATAATGGGGCAAACTGATGGATATCCTACGTGTAATCTTCTGAAATTATTTTCCATTAAAATACTATAAGAATTTGAACTTTTAAAATGTTCTTAGGCTTTTTGGAAGCCCTCTGCCATTTTCAGTGTGCTGAAATAATGCTTTCAAATGTGCGTTTTCTTGTTATTTTATAATTTGAATATTTTTAAACAACCTCACAGATGGCCTTCTTTCTATATCTGGCATGAATTTGAGGAAATTTGACTAAATTGCATGGAATTATTTTTTAAGAAGTACTGAAAAAATGAGATAGAAGAGAGCAAATTTATACCAGAAACGTCAAAGTTTTCAGTTGTGTGTATATATATTTTTAATAGTGCTGTTCTGGAAACTGTCCACCTTGTGATCAAGTCTGTGGGCGGACTCTAGGCTGCAGAAATCACAAATGTCCTTCGGGCTGCCACAGAGGTAAGAATAGGTGAAGGATCCCCGCAGGGCTGGAATATTGTTTAACTTTCGTCAAACTCCGTGCTTGCGTGACTCTGGGTGGTGCTTAATGAATTCTCTCCCTTGTTGCATGTGGGTTTTTTGTGGGGGCATTGTATTTGAAAGGCTTTTAGTGCTGGTTAGAGCTTAGGAATTTACATAATGACAGCCTGAGTTTTTACCTGGTAATTTGGCGTAGCATTGTTCCTCTGAAAGCACTCTGTCCCCTTTCCAGCTGCTTAATTCAAAATCCATAGCTTGACTTTTTTTTCCCCAAATAATTTTGTTCGCTGAATAGAATCATAGAATGGTTT